GGGGAAGAAGCTATAGCGAATTATGGGTTCCGTTATTTCAATTTTATTTAACGCGAAAATGAGCTGCTGTTATCAACTTCCCAGCCGCTGGAAATTCAGCTTGCCACGCACAAATTCACTAGTTTTATTTCATGTGACGGAATTTCATTTTACAGGAAATTCTTTGAACTCCCGACTGCCCGATCTCCAGTGCTTGTGTGATTTACAAATTCTGCAACCCTGGGGATTAGGCATTCGGCCATGAAAATCTCCTACGATTACGAACAGCACTTTCTGAGGTTTGGGCGGTGATTTTGCGGTTTTGGATCCTTGCGTCGGAATGACAGGTGGGATGAGACCTCACTTTACAGTGGTTGGCCGAATTGAAATCGCCTCGAAGTAGGAAACGAGAATGACGGATGACAATAGACTGTATATTGGTCGATATTAGACGCGAACGCCTGGAAGCACGGCTCTGCCTTCTCCGATGCCAGCCTCCAGTCGAAACGAAGCGGAGGTGTGGGATGGAATCTGGACTGGGAGGAGGAGGTCGCTTCCCGCGCGGGCCGTCGTGCTTGCGTGGAGCTGCGAGTCCAGCCCTTTCCTACTTTTCGAAGTGATTGGGCTGTGGATATTTCAACTTTCTCATGTTTTCTAGCTCAGTGCTGGTTTTTGGCGCTTGCAGTGTTTCATTGAAAATGGGTGCTGGAGAGATTTCCTTTAAATCATTGATTTTGGTGGCAAGAACTGGATCGAATCGAGTTTTCAGCTCGAACAAAACACGGAAAAGAAAGAAATGTCTCAAAAATGGTTGTCTTCCAAATGCTACGCCTCAAAAGTTCAAACTGATCGAAATTAAAATGTTACAGGATTTCAAAGAAGTGGTTTGAAATCTCGGAAGCCTTTCCCAAATCCCACGCAGCCAATTCGCATCTCAGAACCAGGATTGTCCGAGCTGGAAATTCGATTCCATCTCCATCCAGCATTGGCAATGCTGCTATGACTCGACTGACTTTTTTTTTCTCATTTTCAAGCAAAATCTATGATTTCGAATAAGCCTCACCCGCAAGCCCTTCCAACAAAATGCCAAAAGCGCCCAAAGCCAGCACTGAACCAGTAAACACAAATTGGAAGATTCCCTTCTTGCGAAAAGCAAGCGAGAGCCGGACGCGCAAGCACGACGGCCCGCGCGGGAAGCGACCTCCTCCTCCCAGCCCAGATTCCATCCCACACCTCCGCTTCGTTTCTACTGGAGGCTGGCATCGGAGAAGGCAGAGCCGTGCATCCAGGCGTTCGCGTCTAAAATCGACCGGATTGCAGTCCGTCTGTGCGTTTCGTACCGCACCTTTAAGAAATCTTAATATTTTGCTGATCAAAGGTAAATAAACAAATGAATGAATAAATAAAATCGTGTAGGGTCACGCTCTCACAATAAAGGCAGCATGAACCCGGAGAGTAAAATTCACCCGCTAATCGGGAAAATAATTTCGACGTCCCCGCTTTCTATAACCTTGAACGTTGGACTCCTCCCTTAACGGGAGGAGTCCGTTTCGTTAATGGTTGGCATTTTTTTAAATCCTACATGCCCAAGCTTTTCTGCAGAGTTCTGATAAATTTAGAGGTCATATTAAACGTTTGGAGGAATTCGGGATCGGAGAGAGTCGCTCGTTGTGACTTTTCTCTAAGCACTCACGTGAACGCAAAACACCAAGTTTCCTGTTTTTTATACGAAATACCCTGAAATGCAATTTTAAAAATATTTAAAAGACGCGACAGGCGACAGTCACGCAATAAAACAGAATGGATGTTTCACTCGGCCACCGAATCCGATCCATACCTTTCTTTCCCTTTTATTGAACATGAATACCTTTTTGCTTTTTCGGACACGCAATCCCGCAAGATTTGAAGGTTTTTGGACCGCGCAGCACCGAGAGTATCTTTCCAGCAGCTACATAGAACAACCATCATTTAAGGCGCGGAAGTACCAAATCCAAGACCACCTCCCTCATCCCTCCTTCATCCCTCCCTCATCCCTCATTCCCTTTCCCATCGAACCCCCTGCGAAACTCGTGTCAGACCGTTCACTCGCACTCGAATCCTCTTCTCGATGGGCGGAGAGACCCCGTTCTCGACCGCACAGGCATACTCGGCGTCCTCGGACGCGCCTTCCACCACCAGCACCGCCTTCTCGGTCGACTTCACCAGCGACTCGCCCCGTCCGCCTGAAATGTCCAGGAGTCAGGAACGATGACACGAATGCCGAGTGTGAAGCTTTTCGATATTAAGCATCGCATCATTAGCTTCTAAATATTATGCTAATGATTATTGAGAATATTGAATATTGTAAATGCAAAATGTATTCAATTTTGAATAAATGAGTGTAGAAAATTGACTACGAAGCAGAACGGACCAAAGCCCGTAAATACTGCAATAACTAGTTCTTCCCTCTTCTTTTTCGTCCTGCCTCCACACGACCGATTTCAGCTCGAAGATTCGACTCCGCCAGGGGATCGTAAAAGAAGACGAACCTACGCGTTTCCACGCGACGACCGGCGGGGGGAAGCCCGCCGCCTGGCATTCCACGGAGAGACGACCCCCGGCGACCACAGAACGGTCCTCGGGCTCCACCACCCACTTGGGAGGCACTGCCAACACGACACAAAACATCAGATCCACCATCCAAGCTCCCCTCCCCATCCTCTACCACCTCCCACCCACCTCCCATCCACCTCCTAATTACCTAGAACGTGGAGAACCGCCGACTGCTCCCTTTGGCCGGCGTCGTTCTGGGCCACGCACGTGTACCGACCCGCGTGTCCCGCCTGGATCCTCGTCAGCACCAGATGGCTGTAGAAGTCCCCGTGCGTCTCTTGGATGCCGGTCGCGAGGTCGGAGAGGGGGTGGCCGTCCTTCAGCCAGCGGATCCGGATCGGGAGGCTGCCGGATCGGATGTTGCATGCCACCGACGTTCTCATTCCTTCTGCCAGCTCCGACGGGAAGGAGAAGCCTTCCACCATAGGCGGCTCTGTCGCCGACCGTGGCAAAAAATGTATTTCGTGAAAAATATATTCCACATACTATTACTGTAGAATAATATGAGCATAAATATAAGACATGAGCACGATAATATATGCATGCAAAAGGAACTTATACAAAATTAGACGAAAAAATTTAATTAAAAGGCTTGTATGCACGAGCAACGATTCTTGAAGTCTTCCAGCCGAAATACTGGAGAGAGGTCCCGCCGTCCAGGGCGAGTGAATCCACTTCAAGTCAACGTCATGCGACGTCATTCTCCAACCACGAAAGTAACGCCCGCCCTCCCATTCATCTACGACGTTCGCGTCGCACGCCCGCGTCGCACCGAACACGCCCAACACACGCACACACGCACCTATCACGCTGAGGCGAAAGGACGCGAAGTGAGCCCGCCGCGCCGCGTCCAAGGCGGTGCAGGTGAACGTCCCCGCGTGCCCCGCCTTCACGTGGGGGATGTCCAGCACCTCCCCCTTGGGGATGACAGGCACCTCCCGCCTGGGGTTCCCCTCCGTATCGACCGACCACTCCACCGCGGTCGTGGGGTG